TCGGTAGGTGTGTTCGGGTATGATGTGTGCGTGTGTGGCGTGTGTCATGTGTGGTGCTGTGTGTGGGGTAGTGTGGGTGTCATGGGGTGCGGTACCATGTGTCACGTGTGGGATGTGCATGATGTCTAGTACATGTGTTGTGTGCTGCGGTGTGTGCCATGTGTGTTACACGTGAGCTGGGTGTGATTTGTGTGTTCTGTGTGTGGTGTGTGTAGTGTGTGTACCATGTGTATATGGTGTGTGGTATGTAGTGTGTGTCAGTACGTGCTATATATGGTGTGGTGTGTGTACTACGTGTGGTGTGTGCTGTGTATGCTGTCACATGTGTGTGGTGTGTCACGTGCTGTGTGTGGTGTGCTGTGTGCTATGCTGCATGATGCCACGTGTGCTGTGTCGTGTGCTGTGTGTGATTTGCCATGTGTTATGTATGGCATGTCATGTGGCATGTGCTGTGCATGTCGTGCGTGTGGTGTGTACGGTGTGTTGCGTGTGCTGTGCATGTCGTGTGTGTGCAGTGTGTCGCGTGTGCTGTGGTGGAGTCGGAGGAGTCACGCGTCCTGGGCGTGGGGAGAGCCCGCCCTCTCCTCTAACACGGCTGGTGGCCGTGAGCGCCCTCGTTAAGCCGAGTGGCGGCAGCTCCCCAGGTGCACGCCCGCCCTCCTTGGTGTGCCCCACCTGGCACTGGGGCTGCGGGGCCGGCTGGGGAGGCCACAGACGCCGGCGCTGGCTATTTTTTTAAGATTTATTTTATCAGGGCCAGCAGGTGGAATGGTGGTTAAAGGCACTGGACTCCCACATGGCTGACCATAGTTCAGGTCCTGGATCTTGTGACTTACTTCACTACCCCCCCCATCTGATCAAACTTGAAAATAATAATAATAAAATTAAATAAAATAATTCTTTAAAAATTATTTGATCTAACTTCATCTATTCATTTATTTATTTTAATTTGATCAGAGAGCAACAGAGTGAGAGAGAGGGAAAGTGAGAAAGCAAGCAGCCAAGTCCAGGACTCGAACCTTAGTTGGCCATGCTGGAGTCCAGCGCCCCCAACCTCTACACCATCTGCCAGTCCTCGTGTTTTATGGTCCTCATAGTACTTCTGTTTTGTCGTTCTTTGTCACCCATCCCTTAATGAGGACTCTGTTTCTTCTGTTCACATATATTTTTTTTGAGAGGGAGATTTTGCATACACCCACCAGAGAGACAGACAGACAAAAGGCAAGAAATCACCCCCCAGGGGGATGGCCACGCTGCCTGGCACCGCGCCATGCAGGGGGGCAGCAGGCTGCTCTGTGGAGGCCCAGGCAGGGCACGTTGCCAAGGCCCTGTCCCTGAGGCCGGTGGCAGCTGCAGCTCCCAGGGCGGCCCTCGTGTCTGTGGCCCACACGCCGCAGGCCTGGAGCTGAGCAGGTCACGGCGCCCACGGTGGAGCACGCCGTAGGGTGGTCTGCAGGGCGAGGTGCGGCTGAGGCCTGGTCTCCGGACATCAGGGCCCCTTCACTGACCTCCTGTCACCCTGTCTGCCCCGGGCGGGCCAGGACGTGTGTGGTGTGCCGTAGGTGTGTGCGGGTATGATGTGTGCGTGTGTGGCGTGTGTCATGTGTGGTGCTGTGTGTGGGGTAGTGTGGGTGTCATGGGGTGCGGTACCATGTGTCACGTGTGGGATGTGCATGATGTCTAGTACATGTGTTGTGTGCTGCGGTGTGTGCCATGTGTGTTACACGTGAGCTGGGTGTGATTTGTGTGTTCTGTGTGTGGTGTGTGTAGTGTGTGTACCATGTGTATATGGTGTGTGGTATGTAGTGTGTGTCAGTACGTGCTATATATGGTGTGGTGTGTGTACTACGTGTGGTGTGTGCTGTGTATGCTGTCACATGTGTGTGGTGTGTCACGTGCTGTGTGTGGTGTGCTGTGTGCTATGCTGCATGATGCCACGTGTGCTGTGTCGTGTGCTGTGTGTGATTTGCCATGTGTTATGTATGGCATGTCATGTGGCATGTGCTGTGCATGTCGTGCGTGTGGTGTGTACGGTGTGTTGCGTGTGCTGTGCATGTCGTGTGTGTGCAGTGTGTCGCGTGTGCTGTGGTGGAGTCGGAGGAGTCACGCGTCCTGGGCGTGGGGAGAGCCCGCCCTCTCCTCTAACACGGCTGGTGGCCGTGAGCGCCCTCGTTAAGCCGAGTGGCGGCAGCTCCCCAGGTGCACGCCCGCCCTCCTTGGTGTGCCCCACCTGGCACTGGGGCTGCGGGGCCGGCTGGGAAGCCACGAGACGCCGAGTCTGGTGTCTGGCCAGCCCGGGGCAGCCCGGGAGTTCTGGGACAGCAAGGCCGTGGGCGCCCGCTCTGCCCCCCACACACCTGTGTTCCCTACAACACTCCCCACGTGTCTGGGCTCCGCTTCTTCGGGAAACACCAGGGCTGCACTGGGGACCTCGGTGCCCGAGTGAGGCGGCTCCATGGGCCAGAGATGAAGCTCTTGGGCATCATGTAAACACATAAAACTGAGGGCGGGGAGGAGGGCGAGGGCAGCAGGGAGGGCCGGCGTAGTCTGGGAAGGCCAGCACAGGAAGGAGAGGGCTCCAGCCGCGGTGCCTGCTGAGAGGGCCCAGGCTGCGGGGCGTGGTGGTCTCTGCCCCCGCTCCCCGCCCGCTAGGAGGGCTGTGAAGGGGCCGGCTGCTCCTGCTCGGCACTCCTGGCCTCCAGGCCTGCCCTGGCTGCAACCAGCAGCTCTGAGTCTCAGGCGCCGTTGGCGTGTCTGTGCCCCTCGGTGGCCGTGCAGCAGCCCTGGGCGTCCTTGCTGGGGCCGCCTCACCATGAAGTATCACATGGCTCCCGCCCTCACTCGCGTGGCTGTCGCTGCTGGGAGCACTGGAGGAAGGGACCGATCTGTAAGTCGCCGAGAGCTGCTTTCACTCCTCCCCTTGGCTGCTGGGTTGCTCACAGCGCTGCGATTCCAAACGCGAGGCTGACCGGAGTAGGGTTTCTCCGTGCCAGCAGGACAGAGCCAGCCCCGTGCCCGTAGGCCTGTTCTTGTGTCCCACGCCATCGGCCCAGGGGCCATGCTTCCTTCTGCCAGGACTGGCGGCCCCCTGCAGCGCCCTTCCTTTCTACGGGCGTCGGGGGGCGGAGGGCAGGCCGCGTCACCCTACGGCAGCACGGAGTGGAGCGGGAGGGGGAGGCTGGGAGAGGCCCGTGGGTGCCGACGGGCCTCCTGGTCCACGGCCGGGCAGTCATTGCGGCGTCTCAGAAAACCCGCGTGCGGCGTGACCGGCACCACGAAGGCCCGGCGGGGGCAGGTGTGTCCTCGGCCCGCGCGGGAGTGCAGCGTTCGGTCAGGACTTTAGCAGGCGGCTCAGCCGCGGTGGCCTGGCGGGTGCCGCTGCTTCGGCCAGCGTCGCGGTGAAGGGCAGGCCTGTGGGGGCATCCCGGCACTCGGGTCCTTCTGCCGCTTCTGCGGGTCCTACTTCTCGCCCCTCTTGTCCTTCCTCACGGCCGCCGTCTGCAAGGCCTCAGCCATCCTGTGCTCTGGCAGCGCGGGGGGCCCAGGACCTGCCCGGGCTTTCCCTCCTGCAGAGCCTGGCCGGGCCTCCTCCGAGCCTTCTTAGAGTTGGGGCACGCGGCCTCGCAGGGAGTGCTGCAGGTACCCGCTCGGCCGTCTCCGGTCTCGGCCTCCACCCGCTCACGCTCTGCTTCGCGGGGGCGGGCCTGTCACCCCGGGCGCCCGGCCCCCCACGAGGCCACGCGCGTTCTCCCGGTCGCTGTCCGCCCGGCGCTGTCCGGCCGCTTCTTGTGCCCCACGCCCATCCCTGGTCGGCCTCCCTGAGC